ACAGACTTGCTCATTATTCCCAGATTCCCATTTTGAGGTATTTGACAGCTTGAGGTGGAAATAGGGCAATTTTACATTGTAGAACAACTTACCAAAGTATTCCCAATCAGTAGGCTTATTTGTTTATTTAAGCAACACAATTATAATAAATAGCGCCACTGACACCAAAGTTTACGACATAGAGGAATAAACATCTCCACAAACACATGTAAGGAAATTAATTTGTTGTTAAAAGTCCACTGTCTTGTCCAATCCCAAAAAGGGGTATTTAGTAGCGGTAGTGAGAGGGTTTGTAAGGTCCATCAGAGGGTATTCCCAAGTAATTGGCTTGTTTGTCACTAAGCTTGGTCATCTTAACTCCGAGATGGTCCAAATGCAACCTGGCAACTTCTTCATCGAGCTAGAAAGACAATTAAAATGTATGCATTTAAAAATTATTATTGTATAACTGAGATACTACAGGCACTCTCATTGGTCAAAAACCTGTCCTATAGTTATTTTATAAAAGCAACAGACTGCCCTTTCCATTCCATTAACCAATGTAATAACTCTTGGCAAGATGTTGGAAGAACACAGAAAAAGTTTATGCATCACTCTTCAGAAAAGAGTATTGTACAAACTTTTTTAGCATTCTCCTAAGACTTGTGTGGGTTATTTTATGCCACTAAACCATGGGAACGAGAGTTCCAAATCTGATATATCAGACATTTCCACACCTACATTTCCTTTTGCAGTTCAATTAATGTAAGTGAGCTCAACTACTTTTCATAACTCTCAAAACTTAGAAATCTCTCAACCCAGATGCAATCAGCAATCCAGCTTTCTTGACAATATTGCATTTTTACAACCCTGTCAACAATATTGGTCATACAAGTCAGGACAACAGCCAAGAGATACATATGTAGCATTCACATGTGTGTACAAAGAGACCCGATAAGTAAATGTTGGGAGAATTTCATGTGGCTTGCAGATCTTTGATGCAAAAGGGATGCAAAATTATCAGGGAAATGAATAATATCATAACAAGAGTGGTTCTGCCTTTCAAAGAATCACCAATCGTGGACCTTTAAAGCTCATCATCAAGTATCTTGCCAGAGATTCTCTCACCTTCTTGGGCAGCATGTAAACACCAATTTTGTATTCACTTGTCTTCTCCCAAAGTTCAATCTGAGCCATGACCTGGTTTGTGAAAGAGTTGCTCATGACAAATGATGGATGTCCCATGGCACAGCCAAGATTTACTAGACGGCCCTCAGCAAGCAGGATGATGTGACGACCATTGGGGAGGGCGTAACGGTCAACCTAATGTAAAATTAAATGAAATCTTGAATCTTGGGTCAACAGTTCAAACCAGGAAACCTAAATTGGAGCAGTGTTCATATCAGTGTGATTTCCATTTCCACTGTGGTTCATCAGTTAAGCCTTTCCCTCCAAAAGTGACCGAGACAGAATTTCTCCTTACTATATCGGTACAATATCAAGCAGACAAGTGATAGAATAAATGAAAACATAAATTGGAGAATCAATAGTTGATTGACAACTAAATTCTCTGAAGTAGTATCATGAGAATTAAATGGTAGACAGCAAGGATAATTACTCATCAGACCTTGGGAGTGATACGGTTTTTTCATGTCTTTTTCTTTCTTTTTCTTTCTTTTTTTTTAACATTACTGGTAAATCTGGCTTTGCATCTTAGTTATGAAGCGAGTCACAGAAGATGCTTTGTACCTGAGGTTTGATGTTGTCCTTTTTACAGTTTTCATTGAGCCATGCAACATCAATTTCACAATCAAAATGGCCAACATTGCAGATGATGGCATCATCCTTCATCTTCAAGAAGTGTTCTGAAGTGACGATTCCACTACATCCTGTTGATGTGACAAAGATCTGTCCCTGTGAGGCAGCTTCTTCCATGGTAACAACTTCGTATCCTGTTAATCAAACAAGGGCAACACAAAGCATATCAAAACACTTAATCATTGTTATTCATTATTAGTATGAGCATTCTACTTGCATCTCCATGTTTAAACTCTTGCTAACAGCTTTAATACTAAAAAAATCACAACACCTTAGCTCTTAAATCTAGGCTGACAAGCATTCTTACATAACTTTCTAATGTTGAATTACACTGTATCCAAATGAAAATTTTTATTTATTGTGGTTTCTATCAGTTTAAGAAAACTTCAGCCGCAATTTCCAATAACACAACACCCAGCGAGTACTCTCTTTTCTTTACAGAAAGCTGACAAGTTGCATATCTTTTGCATACTTTACCTTCCATGGCAGCTTGAAGGGCATTGATGGGATCAATTTCAGTGACCAGAACACGAGCGCCAAAACCACGGAGAGACTGTACTGATCCTTTGCCAACATCTCCATATCCAGCTACAACACAGACTTTTCCAGCAAGCATGATGTCTGTTGCTCTCTTCAGACCGTCAACAAGAGATTCACGGATTCCATACAGGTTGTCAAATTTGCTCTTGGTAACAGAGTCATTGACATTAATGGCTGGCACCTTCAGTTTGCCTTGCTCAAGCATTTTGTACAAGTTATGTACACCAGTCGTGGTCTCTTCTGAAAGTCCCTTTATTTCTGGAATATAAAAATTGTATATCATGCAAGTTAACATTTCTAAAGTAAAACAATTAATAGTTTAATCACACAAACAGAGATAAGAATCAGCACAGGAGCTAAGCAAGTCTCTCTACAAGAGCTTTTCAAACTAAATCCTTTCACTCCTAGAGTGAAAAAACAGAGGAATTTCTCTTTACAGTGTGTAAATAAATATACAAACAGAGAGGCAGTGAGAAAAAAAATTAGGGGATATTATTTGTATTAGCACCAAATTATTCATACAAAAATTATCAGAAATCGATTACAAACAGTTCAGAGAAAAAATATATCGTAATCTTGGGAATGAAAGGGTCAAGTTACACATGGAAACTGGCAGGATTGTTACATACTCTGAGTGAGATTTTAGTCTATCAAAGGTTACCCAGTGGTCTTCAGAAGCATCAGCAGCCAGTGTTTTTGCTGGCTACTTGAAGCAGACAAAGCAATAAAAGCCTATGGTGATCTGACATAAATTTTAACCTTTGCCAGGTACTGTTCATTCGATGCTGGCTTCTAAAAAATATCAGAACACTTTATTCCCAGAATTTTGATAGATTTCCCTAAAAATTTGCTGGTGCTCATTTACACTCTTTTCATGTGGGGAGGGGCTGTAAAACTACCTTGTTCAAAGCCAGAGCTTATCCCCTTGACCACTTAGAATGATTAGCATCTCACTCCTCCTTACAATACCACCCATGAATCACCCACAAAGGTTATGAGAACAGAGGAAATGATCACTAACTAAAAAAGCTCTTGATTTTTAAACAAATTCTCTTTGTCAGCACCTTTGGAAATGTATAGAAAACATTATGGAGAATATGCATTCTGATGTTAGGGTGTTCAATTTAGGTCCAATTATGGGCAAATCATTAAGTCATCAATTTACCAAAATATTACCCGACAAAATGAAAATATTCATGCAGTGCTAAGTAGCAATTTTATCCATTACATATCTATCAAGAAGCATGAATCAACCTCTAACATACTTGGCAAAAACTGGGGATATTTGTCGTGAACAAGGTTGGTGAGGTCACCACCATCATCAAGGATCATGTTCAGTGGCTCTCCATCAGGGAAGACAAGGGTCTGCTCAATACACCAGACATACTCCTCATCAGTCTCTCCCTTCCAGGCATACACTGGAACACCTGTCTTAGCGATAGCTGCTGCAGCATGGTCTTGGGTGGAGAAGATATTACAAGAAGACCACTGAACCTGTGACAGCAAAGACCTGTATTGTCAGTATAAATCTTGACCAACATAACACACCTGCAAGTCCTACCCGATTCCTAAGAGGAATGTAAGCACAGCCATGCATACATAACACGACACACTAGGTTTCACATTAACTGCAAGTTCCCATCTCCAGATAGTTTTCCGTTCCATTCCAATTGAGATAGACCTTTTGAAGTTCAAAATGAAAGTAAATTTGCTAATCAATACTTGTTACAAAAATAAATGACCATAAAGAAAAGGTTATGGTTATTCATTGTGGTGAATAACAATAGAAGCCAAGTTTTTTGAAAGATATACCTCTTTTAAGAGTTTTAAGAGACGAAATTAGCCTAAGAGTTTATGATAATTCATTCCTAAAGCAATGCAGAAAACTAAGCTGACTCTTGCACTTGTTTCATGCTCTCCAAACTTGCCATGGGTATTCATGACTCAATATGTGCAACGTAAGCATGAACCAATTCTTAAATACAAAAGAAATAATAATGATAAAAATAGCACTTCTCTAGCTTGCTTTTGGCTATTGTTTGAGTGGATATACATTGAGATGTTTCCCTTGCTCAAGTGTCTTCAACTAGATGCAGAATAAGTCAACAATGACCAGGATTTATAGTAGATTATATGTTCCAGTGCACCTGAAATTGTTTTGCTCAGTTATATCAAAATTTAACATTCACTCTACAATCCATATGTAAGAAACAGTATTTACAAATACCTCAGCTCCCAATTCAGTCAAAGTTTCAATAAGAACAGCAGTTTGGATTGTCATGTGCAGACAGCCTGCAATTTTAGCTCCTGTGAGAGGCTTTGTGGGACCATATTTCTTTCGCATCTCCATCAAACCAGGCATTTCATTCTCAGCCATGATGATCTCTTTACGACCCCAATCAGCCAGGCTGATGTCAGCTGGGAGGTAATAAGACACAAATTAATGACGACTAGCCAGAACAGTTGCTTTGTTCCCCCAGTTATAATGAGATGATGATGACAATGATAATTGTGTTTGTCACTACTTCTCATGTCCAATTTCCTCTTTAACCCTTACACTACCACAAGAGATCAAAATATAACTTCTCTTAATATTTTTTCTCCTTCTCTGATACCTTAATGACAAATTTGCTGTCACGAATTCATTTCAAAGCCAGTAATTTGCTGGTAACTAAAGTGATTTGAGAGAGAAAGAGAAAAGACAGGATTAATAAGTTATTGAAAAGCTTGATTTGCTCAAAAATACTGCCCAGCCAGTAAAACCGAATATAATTATGAAAAACTGCAACGAAGCTAAGGGTGTATTTTGTGAATCACTGATGCATGCCCTGCGGGCAGAGATAGGAAAATCTAGACCGCAGTAGGGGCCAATTGGAATGGCAAGATTCGTTACCATGCCCTCTAAGAAAAAAAATCACATCAGTACCACAATGATTGAATCTAGAAGAGGAATGCTGTTAATGGGCGCATGTGATCAAACACAGTTTGGTGCACACTCCCTATGGGTAGGTACTTTATTTCTTACAAACAAGAAACCATGTAAACGAGAGGTTTAAAATCATGGGTAATTATATGACTGCCATGAAGATTATTTGAGGCAAACTAGTGCCTTCTTAGTTGCATCAACTAGTTGAACTGCTATGGAGACAGCCAAACTAAACTGACTGGTTCCTGAGACGATTCGTTCTGCGTTTGATTCGGAAACGAGTGCAATATCGCGGTTTTCTTAAATCAAAACAACAGACACGTATTGTAGAGAAAGTGAACTCAATTCTTATCGAAAACTTATATCGAAAACACCATTTGCTGGAGTACTGCACTGTAACTGCCTCAAGCAAAATTGCGCAACTTTGAAACAACCCCGATAGGATTTACTGACCTCAAGACGGAGGATTTCTTACTTTTCAGTTTATGGAAATTTGGTTATGGCATTCACTCTCTATAACAGAGTCTTGTTATGAAATCAATTGCGTTCATGTCGCCCTGACATACACACGTGAAAGCTGTACGAGGTGATGATGCACATAGCTCCTTGAACTTTCTTAAGCAAGAATTTAAAATTTCCAAAACCGATCAAAGAAACTTTCATCCAAAGCACTACAGAATTCATAGTATCTGTATTATAAGAAATAACTTTTATATATTAGTGTAATCGAATTACGAAATCTTAACTTCCATTGCAAGCCGAAACTACCAACATGTCGATGCCACTTCAGCAGCCAAAATCATCACACGTGTCAATTAAAATCACAAGCTTCGATTGCCTTCAAACTCACCGACTTTGTACTGGAGCTTTCCACCGTTCTGCATGATGACCTTGAATTGGTTGAGGATACAACTACCACCAAGAGACCACTAAATCACTTTCTATCGTACGGAGTTAAAAGAGGACGAGAAAAGGGCTGAAATAAGTTTTTATACCTACACCCGCCATATTTGGAATGTTCGATGGTGATTGGCTATTCGGGCAATGAATGGGGGTTGTTTCGTAAAACATTAACATGTTTGTAATGAATTTATATCGATTTGAACCAATTTTACTCAGAATTTTCGCTTTTAAACTACTTCAGATGCGTAAAGAAACAAATTAACATGATTCAAACAGCTAGGAAGAGCTCTATGTTGAAAATTATACTTCAAAAATCTAAGGAAGGTAGTTAAACAGTAACCACGGTCACAACGATGTTTGATGGCATGGGAAAATTACTTGTCGACTGTATGGATGGAAAATAACTGATCACGTGCGTATTGCTCGATCGAATCATGTGGTGATGAGACTGAGTTAGAGCAGACAGTTCAAAGTTACGATTAATTCTGAGAAACGTGATCTCTCCTTCATACAAATATACTGTGTTGCATTGGAATTATGATGGTAAAACCTGTTGAACATGTAAATGTATTCGTCGTTTGTGAGCTCAGAAGACTGAATAGATTTCATTGCGTGACGTTACTTAGTTATATTGCGTAATGACAAAGTTGCGACATTGGACGTGCTTAAACAGGGAGCAGTGGAGCACAGATCACAGAGAGATCAGAAAAATAAGAACGTCGCAGAACAGTATGTAATCCCGTAATGTTTTACGCAAAAAAATTGTTTTTAAAAAATCGAAAAGAAGAAAACAGTATAAACAACGATTGGCTCGCGCGAATTTACTGGTTAAGATGCCGAATTTCATTAAAGCTTAACCCACTCGGCTGACTCCGAACGTAACCATTTGTGTGTCCCCGAGCGATTTTTGAGAATTTTATGCGGTTTCTCCTTCTTCTGACATTACTGTCTTTCCCTTCAAAAGCGAAGGGTACACACAAGGATTTTTATTTTATCAATAGAGGCAATCAAGCTTCTGGCCTTTTTGTTGATAAGGGTCCGGAGGAACCTCCGATAGACACACGATAACAGTAAGTTATTATCCAGTTGCACAAAGTAGAGTAAAAATAAGGGGCGAATAGAGTTCAAATATCCTGCGATATTGTAGGATTGGTTATTTTATACTGTGAGAAAAAAGCCTGTTTTACCGGTCGGCTGCGCGCGCAACGCTTCTCCATCCGCTAGGGTTTTCCCACCTTACGAGAAATGAACAGAAACACTTGGCGGAAAAAAATCTATTACTCTACTGGCTCGTCAAAATACTGCGCAACTCGTAAAAATACTCAGCGATACTACACACAAAAATGCCTAATAAGATATAATTATTGTTGAAGTGTCGCACGAGTACTGTAGTCAGTAGGAAATTCAACCTGGACATTACAATATATGAAACGCTTTCTAACCTAGGGGGTATGTATCATTATCTCTAGCTCTTATTCTGCAAGGCTCCCTCGGAACCTCCGAGCTGCTCTTATAGTCACTTGCAGCTTAGCTTGCGGCAGGCTCTCATTGATAGAGAACAACTAATTCTGACGTACATTGACGCCAATACATCGATGGTGAGGTCGTCGTTTTAGCATTTTAAGCTAAGCTTTGCTGACCGAAAAAAGGTGTAGTGAACATCAGGAATGGGAACTTTTAACTTCTGGCTACCGTCCGCGTCTCAAAAATGTTCATGCAGGACGCGCGTCTCTCCGCCCGCAGGAATATTGAGACGAATCGGGGAGAGGTTTGTCAGGGGTCTAACACTAAATGTTAAAGCCTTTGCAGACCTCTCACTGGCTTGCATTGCTCAAGACATCATACCTTCCCCCGGGTGAAGAAACCCTCGTCCCGAAGTGATGATAATTAGGGCCTGTTCGCAAGCTAGTGAGGCAAGCCAGGGTGCATCTTATAGAATTAAACCTCCCTGAAGTGCCTTGGCAAGACACTGAACAAAAGCCGACCTCGTCCCCCGTACCCCCCAGAAACAGTGCTTCCGGCTCATCTCCGTTACAACCACAAAAAAGCTTAGTTTCTAACCATTTTATTTTAAAATCAGCACTTCTGAAACAAAATGTTGCGAGTTTTGAAAGCTGAGTTTTTTTACTGGTCCAGTAGGTTTCACAAGAGCATGTATCTGGTCAGCTGGAACGATCGAAACAAGCATGCGCATATTTATCGCTGACCAGAGTATCGCGTGCTCTTCTTCGCTAAGTATGAGATTTAACTTCTCTTCGAACTCATCCGCTTGTTCTCCCTCTTTGATTCCAAATGTTTTGAGCCATTAACTGCGGTATTTACTCGTAATATCTGCGGTATTTACTTGTAATATCTTCGCAACATCAATCATTCTCGTCAACTGTTCGGTTCACATGTCCGTTAACACAGATATTACTAACAGGAGGGATATCGATACTGTACGACCTTGATCTTCCAATACAACAGGGCGGGGCACAGTTAGTGCTTGCAACTGAACTGTTGTCACTCGGAGACTGCATTACATCCGGCCCTCGTCTACCGCGTGTTAGACGGTCCATTATGGGAGGATAAATTAGGCATACCGATGGAATCAGGACGAAAAACAGATATATTATATACGCCCATGGAGGATAAGGTAGTGCCTTGACTTTTGCCTGGAAGAGAAATTAATAAAATGATGCATATGCTGCTTGTGAAAATGCGTTTAAAGATCGGAATACTGTAAAAACCAATAATAAGTTTAAGCTGAACATGACACAACGTGACATAAAAACAAAACGCGCACATGCATGGGTCGGAATTACGGAGATACTAGCCCGCGATATAAGCATTTCTTCATCCGCGGGACAGTTTAAAACCTTGAGCAGCACAATCCACCGAGAGGTCTGCAAGGAGTCTAGTACTGATAAAAGGCCTCACTATTAGAGTCAGAACCCCCGGCAGACTTCTCCCTAGCTCGTCTCAAATCTTTCCGCAGGTGGTAAAAGGCGCGTCTTGTAGCGTTAATTATGAGGACATGCTCACAGGCTAACCACCAAGACACTACAACAGGCATCAAAAGCTATTCGATGAGCGATTATTTAGTCTGTCAAAGTTTGATGAAGATCTGTACTAGTGGCATTGATTTCCATATCACACGACAGCGAATCACCCCACCGACCGCAATGAAACAGTGTAAAACATAACATTCCTGAAATTACCTCAGTTCGGTCCCACGCAGTATATGTGAACTCTCCATTTCTTATCATTTGGACAATTCCTCCAACTATGACGCTGAAAATTATTAGGGGAGAAACAAACTTCCAACAAAGCTTCCATCTACTCTTCACTTGTTTTCCAGTTCTTGAACTAAGATCTTTTGAAAACCTGCAGGATAAAGTAAGGCATTTTACAGCCCAAGACTTGGTGAAGAGCTCGGATATTTTAGGGCTAACTAGCTTCTACAGCCCAAGATCTGGTGTAACAGCTGTTCGTGTGCTTCGGCCGCGTCCGGGTGCACGAAAGTAGTACCCGAGAAGGACTGTTGTTGCTAATGTTGACCGACGACAGCCTAAGCGCATCATAGTCAAGAAAGGATTTATTTCTCATGTCAAGTGATATGAAAATTGATTGGTCAGTTTGCCGAGGTATATTGGCTGTCAAACTCGTGTAGCGTCATTCAGCTGTGATTTTGCTTATTCCAGGTGATTGGTTAGGATTGAACATATTGACTCGCCCCCGGTCCACTTCGAGGGAAGCGCACGGGCATATATGGGTTTGCCTTACGTTCGTCTCTTTTTATTACAAACTACTATACCCTTGAAAGAACTCGTGCTGCTCTCGTAAGTCTCAAATAATTAAGTAAAAACAAAAACCAATCGCAACTCGGTCATTCGCGAATACTTCACTCCTTGTGATATTTATCTGTGTTCCGATTGGCCGTTATGATTACTTAAGTCCTAAATGTCATACACTTATTCAAATAGAGCCGGCTATAACTTAAAAACACTGACCTTTCCATTCCATAGACAAAAGCTACACCTATACACTCTGCAAGACCGATGAGGAGAAGAGGAATGGAACTAGCGTTGCTGATAACTTCCAGCAAGTAAAAACCAGTTGATTGCACGAATAATAGGTTACTGATACACATAGTGAGACAGAATGTTCCTACAAAAGATAAAGGCGAAATTAGTTTACGAGCCAGGTAACCTTTCCTGATTCAGCTTATCCCGATATCAGTAGAGTGTAGCGATAACATGTTTGCGCCACTTTCCCCCAGATGGTATGCTAATCCGTCGCAAGTTTAACCCCATTCTGCTGGTTTCACTGACATGAAGCGTCTAAGAAGAACTCTCCCTTGGAGAGATTTCCGTTATCCTCTACCCTCTCCTTCCAATGGAGTCTTATTCACAAACCACTCGGCGAACTGGTAAAGGTGGGCGCGAAATCCCTTCACCCCAAGGGGCGAAAACACAAAGGTGGTAGGGAACGAACCTACGGTGGGGCGAAAGCTTAATAAGCCATAATAAATCTAGCAAATAACACGACTCAAATCCAGCAAATGACACGACACAGACTCACCACAAATGACTTCATTTCTCCACGTTCGAGTGAAAAACGTGATCTCCTTGCAAGTTGTAATTACGATCTCAATCATGCCCACCATACTGGAGGAGCTTAGTAAGAACAAGAGAAAGTAGAAGAGAGAAGACCAAAGCGGTGGAGAAAGGGACATCTGAGTAAACACCTCGCTAAGTCCCGCAAACCCGAGGGACATCCCTGGAGGAAGCTGAAATGATCAATAAAACATTATTCAAAAGGTTTTGCACGAAACAAACGCAAACAGAATCGCTGTTGTATAATTGAAGATAGTGATATGGAACAATGAAGCCCTTCAGCATTGTGTAAATGTCTATAATTGGACTGAATACTTCGTTGCAATGTTCGGGAATCAGATCAAGACATGATTTATTAAAAGCGCATGACAGAGTGCAACTTTGATTCAGGAAGAGCCTAAACCTGATTGTTTGATCACTTCCTTCACTGTCCCTTTGGCAAACTTACATGTGTATTATTACTTTTTCCCTTATCAGTGGGGCCCTGTCACAAAACACTAAGCCTCACTTTCAAACCGGAGCTAAATGACCGCAAATGGCCGTTAGTCTAATGTACATTATGATCATTAGTTTTCCCTTAAAACAAAGAAGTATTCATACTTACTTGATTAAATATCTCTTGGTAGCTACATGTCATTGTTTTGGTGGTGTTGAACAAGGAGTCGTTATCTCGGAGTGCGGCGAGTCTATCCTCACATTTGAGAAATTTTTTGCGAGCCTTGAAGCCAAAGAACGAGAACATAATAATGCTTGCCCATAAAGAGGTTGCACAGTTTCCCAACGCACACATGATAGCATCCATTATGAAGCTGTTTTTTGGTTGGTTCCCTGTAGAAAACAAGGTAACGCTGCCGAGTCCAACCCCCAGAGAGAAGAAAATTTGCCCGGCGGCGTCCATCCACACTACTGGGTCTTTGAGTCTTTCCCACTGAGAATATAACAAAAAATCATCTACGTATTACTGTTGTTAAGATTTAAAGAACGACGTTTTACAATTAACAATCAACCAAACCAGCTTAACTGAATTTGGGAGGGTGCATCATATTTACACTACTTAGCTTTTTTTCTGTTTGACTTCATCGCAATCACCTATGGTTTTGTTTTGTTTTCTTTGTTGCAAATTTTTTGTGAAAGAAAGATTAAATTTCACATGGAAGATCAAGGATTGATCCTCTTAAAATCAGTATCCAAAAGAGTCTTGACAGGACAAGTTCTTCAAATCAAAGCAAACGTTATTCTAAAATTAGAAGTTACCTACCTCCGGGATGAAAAGCCTTGCAAGTCCTTGAGCCCAGCCGTCATGATGTACGCTGACAAAGAAAAATGTAACGAGACTGACAACGATTAAAATGAGAGCCACAAGCAAAACCTGAAAAAGTAAGTCGTTTAAATAAATTAATAAAAAGACAAAAATGATGAATTACCATTGGTTTACGCAAAATATTATAATTTCTTCCCGCACGCTACTTTAAAGCTGATAACACTGAATTCGAAGAGTCCAAAACAAAGTAATGATCACAGTGACCTACCAGAGAAAAGGTATACATTATCATTAACCAATGAAAAACTTCCGGTTAAAAACAAGTTAACTGCTTGAAGCGCGGGAAAACGCGAGTGACAAAGTCGCGATTGCTTTTAGTTTTGCATCTGATTGGTTGAGGGGATGGCGCGAGTTTTCTGGACCAATCACAGAGCAAAATTAAAAGCCAAACCAATCTCGGATTACTTTAGACACTCGTTAAAAACTGCTCTGCATGTAAAACAGTGGATGAGCAATCTGTTTCCCCAGAACAACTTATAGTTGGCAAACTGTCAAACAACTCCTCACTTGACTCTGATAATAAAGTCCGCTCAGGTTGTTTTAAATGACGGTCTCTGTTATCAACAACAGTCCTTTTCAGGACCACCCTCGACCCAATCCACAATCAAAAGGTGAACGAAACGGGCTCAATACGAAGTACTTTGCCATTCATTCCCCAAGACCAGGAATACATTACGAATACATCAAAATAATTTTATTGCCTTACTCACCTTTGACGCTGCTCGCAAGCCACGCATGGTTAGTAAGAACGACACCGTCCAGGAGATCACAACAAACAAGAACAGATACATGTTGATTCCTGTTGACATCATGGTAATAAGACGATCGGTCGATCAAGAGAAAGGAAAATACCCTTAAGAACCAATGTGAACTCAAAGTGAAATCAAGCGAACTGTCTTAAGCTCGGGGGAACGTGGGTAACCGAGTCGTGGTTTAAGTTTGCTTCTGATAGGTTAAGAGTATGGCGTAAGTTTTTTGGACCAATCATAGCGCAAATTAAAGAAAAACCAATAAAATGTCGGATTACTTTTGTCATTCAGTTGAAAAGAGCTCTATTGATTTATTGAATCACATCAAACCAAATTCCATAAGATGTTTGGGTCATCTATTGCATAATTCAAGGGCAACTTGGTTAACATCATGAAGGGGACACAAATGGTTCATCAGGGCGTTGGTTTTAGGCGGGAAAGAAGTATTTTTAGAGGTCGTTTTGATAGACGAAACTAATACCTAGGCTGTCTGTTGTTACTTTGATTTTAATCAGAATATGAGATCAAAGTTAGCCTCGAAGCGGACGTTGCAAAAGACAGATTTGTCTCAAGAAACTCTCTAAAAATAACCTATTGGAGTTGAAATAATCCAAGGCCTGATATATCTAACGCCTCCCTCTCTCTCCCCTCATTTTCTCTTGGTTTCGAAATCAATAATCATATTTAATTTTTATCAGCAATTCCTGCAAACATCTCAATTCAAATGACGTCATTTCTTACCTGTGCTTTTTTTGATATCTTCAGCAACGTCTAATGTTTCTCTATACCAATAATACTCGGCTGGATTAGTTCGTGAACACTCTGGGACCAAAGTTCCATTTACGGTGTCATTTATAGTGGGACACGTAGTCCATAATAGTGAACTTCTCATGGAATGAATAAAATAATAAAGGCACCAGGCCACAATGTAATTGTAATAAAAGCACGTCACCAGGCTTTCGATGGTCGCGGCCATACCAATTCCTCTGAGACTTGGACTGAGATCCTTCCAGGATTTCATGACAGAGTTCCTCCCCAGTCTCTGTCCAACAGCCATCTCAAGGCAAATGAGGGGAATTCCTTCTAAGATTAACATGATGAAGTACGGGATGAAGAATGCACCTACAAAAGTGAACAAATTTAATCACTAAGTAAATAAAAAATGCTTTAGTGAAAGTAAAGGTAATAACATCAGCAGCAACAATGATTTTATGAAAATAATCACAATAAAGTGATCAGCTCGTGTAGTCAGGTTTTAAGTTGGGTTGCCCATCTGCCGGAGATTACCTAAATTTTCGTTGCCAGAAGGTGACTAGGAGCATTGTTATTCACTCCGAATAGGACAAACGATAAAGTTTTAGGCGTAATAATTTTATAGACAGTCCCCAACAGCCTCTTTTTACTCCTAGTCAAGTGAAGGGAAGCATCGCGAAGGTAAACTTTCTTGTTCAAGAGTAAAAGACTCTGATTGGACCAGAACACGAACCCAGACCAGAATCCAGAATCCAGCATGACCACAACCATTTGGCCACCTCGCCTCCCATGATAATCCGCGAGAGCTTGATTTATTTGTGTTATTTCAATGATACTGAAGACTGATACGGTAGATAGGCACTGTTTTATCATAAAAATCTTATGATTGCACTGAATCCTCGCCTTTCAAATTCAAGATCCAAAAATATAAATTTGATGTTGGTTTTGAAATCTTATCACTCTCTACTTTGCGATTTATCAAATAAAGAAAGGTAACGTTATATCCGCTGCGACGGTTACTTTTGAGATCAAAGTGTCTCTCTGCGTTCGCAAAAGAATACCTGAATCGTTTTTGATCAGACATTTCGCAATAATGTAACTGAATGAAAAAAAAATTACAACATCCTTACCTCCTCCATGTTTGAAGCACAGCTGAGGAAATCTGATAACATTTCCTACTCCCAGAAGATATGTTAGCATCGCTACAAAATAATCCCCTTTGCTTTTCCAAGGTTTATCAGGGCTTTTCTCTTGAAAAGTTCGGCTACGGGTTGATCCACAGCAGGTTACATTCCCTGAGTGGGAGTTGTGTTGCTTGCTAAGCTGCGACGACGAGCCATTTGCCTTGCCTGGAAAACGTTGCTGACTCGTGGCTTTGTCTGGTACTCCATTACGCTTCCAATGAATATGATTATTAGCGTATTTTCCATTCATTGGAAGACTCATTCTACCACTATGATTTAACATAGATGTGTTACGTGTCGTGTCCGTGCAAGTTTGACAGACAATTTCGTCAGATAATCCGCTGCTAAGAATGCTCGAATGTTGCGGGTTCCACTTCGCCCAGGATGCTTTGCGGATGTTGTTTGAATGGCTTATACTGTTGGATTCCTTCCGTTTTGTTTCGTCTTTTGTTGTAGACAGAGCATCATCACCGCGTAGTCTCATTGGAATTACCTCTACAGTATTTTCTATCCTTTGAATTGCAAAACTACCCATCTTTCTGCGGAATAGACATTCATAAAATCTTTCAGCCAATCAGTAGCGATTTAAACTAAACCATCGAATGAGTCATTTGAAAATACGCTTTTTTCCGCCACCGAGCATGTTTGGTTATCTTTACTTTAAGCGTTCATCAGCTTCTTGTCATAACTCGCTCTGTTCTGATTATCGTTTGTGATCAGCCGTGCTTCTGAATTTGCGAAATGCAGTGCACATCATGATTTTGTTAGAGAGAAGTCTTATTTTCTTTACAAGAAGTCAGCGGAAAAACGAAATGAATAGTCACAGTTCTGGTGCTCGTCTGCATGGGATCTTCACAACAGTTCAGAAAAAGCAACAGACATAACTTGGATGACACGTAACACCTGATACATATGAGACGACAAACTTCTTATTTTAAAAGATTTTACGAAAGTTTGATTTTATAACAGGCGCATAGAGGTGAACTATAGAATTGTGCAAGGCGCAAAAAACAAGGTTCTGACGCTACTCAGCTGCGCGACTTCTCCGAATGATTAATTTTCTGATATAGACCTGTCCTAATTAAATTCAAATTAGCCTGTTGTTAGTGCGAGACATTTTAAGCGCTGTAGAGCCAAATTTTGATGTCTGCAATAGTTTCTTCATGATTATTTTATTACTTTTTTTCACTTCAATCATTGAAACTCTGTTGTGTCTGACTTCACTGTGAAACAACTTGTTTGTTTTGCCAAAATCTTCACTCTGCCATTACATTTCACTCAGCTACAATATAGGTATGGCGTTAGGGGCATATGTTTCATTAAAATTTCTGAATAGTAATTATCGCTTTCGTAGAAATGTTTGGATGATAACGTTTCTGGTTACGATACAAGAATAAGGAAATGTCTTTGTCTTTTTTCAACTTCTGCCGTGGAATCTTAAGGCGCAGCTCCTTTTTAAAAAAGAGATGAAGAAAACGCATTTCTTTTCAAATGAGTGCAGTTTAGAAGAACGCAATTAAGATCGACAGAAATCGATCAAACTATGGTCGGAAACTTGGAGTGAAATGTCAACATCAGCCAAACAAAGCATAATGCTGAAAGAGCAGTTATTGTGTTTACGAAACAAAACTTCTAATTGCTTCATGTTTAAGCTTTATTACGTTTCAAAAAAACACAGAAAGCTGATTTGCCTTTTCACGTTCTATTGGTGTTTCTAAATTTCAAGATGCCAAATGATTCTCAGTTTCCGAATCAATAATTTCCCGCGCGCGTAATTATGATTCTGCAGTCAAAACATTGTTTTGGATATAATAAGCTACCATCTTCAAAGAAACCCGACACGTAATTGCAATGCAATTCCCAATAAAATGCTTTCAGTTTTAGCTAAAGCTTCAAATTGGGTTTTCATTATAGAGAAGAGTTAAATCGAGATCAGAAAAAAATTAATAAACGACATTGAAAACTATTCAGAAAGAAAGGTCTATCCCTGCCGATTGATGAAGAATCGAAATTATTGTAGTACGACTCCCCTCAGCATATTCATTGAAAAGCATTTTCTTGAAATGGAGTTTCTAAAGCTAAGAGCAACAGTCCATGCCAATAAGTAATTTTTCATATACTTATTCAAGATGTACTAGTTTTTTTTCCTATCAACCAAACAATGTAGAAAGTTACCTGTTTTTTTTAGGGATGATCTTTTGAAATTGCAATATGTAGATAAACCCTGAAGCAAGTTGAAGCTGTGCTCACAGTTCGAGACCCAAAGCTAGTCTGGGCATAATTCGTGTTTGATATATTTAAATTAACACTGTCAAACACGCGATCACGGATCTTCTCACCTCTTCGTTTTTTTGGTTTTTTTTTTGCAAGCCATCCTCCTTGGTGGATTTTGATTGGGTGGAAATAATTAAATATTTCTTCGGGTTGACTTTTTGGGTAATAACTCCTCGAATACAATAGAAGACACGAAAATTGTTTAAAATTTAGCTCTGGTAAATGTAATTAATGCTACGAAGAACATGTCAAAAAGAATCGCTGGTGCATTGTTTGCGAAATAATACAGCTTTCACCGTGGACTTTAAGAACACAGCTGCTTAGCGCCCTATGTTTGACCAACCAGATAAAATTCAAAACCGGAAAGTAAACGAAAGGTTACAAAGGCGTTTTTTTGAGTCTTTAGCTCTCTCCAAGTTTAGTTTATCAATAAACACACAAATTTTCCATTTTTTTTTTACCCGCTTAAAACAAGAATAAGGCAAATGTGACTTTCAGTTAACCAGTCAACTTTTAGCTGTTTTGAGCAGAGGGCATTTTTAGATATGCGTTTTATTCGTTTAAGAAATGGCGTTTAAAAAATCGAGAATATCTCGGTTTATAGTGGCATGGGTAACCACAAATACCAAAAGACTAGCAACAATTATTTCGGAATATGATCTTCTAAAATCGAAGAGGCTCAAGGTTGCTGAACAGCTGCGAACAGTTTAGCTACTGCGAGAACTAAATGTTTAGTCTAAATCGATGCACACTTTCTTAAATCTTTGCCCTTACTAGTAAATATTACCATAAATTTCGCAAAAATGTTATCATCAATAATTTTGCACCAGCAAGGAATGATTTGTCAATTTACAGTGAGCACTATAACATTTTTTTTTCAGCTGATATAAATATGGGAAAACATTTAATCTCACCAGTAACCTGCATGACCTCAGGGTATATAAGTATGGAGATCAGAGGCTTGTTTTTTTTGAGATATGATTTAAATAATTTATAAGTGTCGTCTACAAACAGCTTTCAAAAAATTGTTTACTCAAAAATGTGATAGATATTACTGATCATAGCTCACTAGAAAATTATTTACGAGATTCAGAATTGCGGCAGGAATATTGACTCGAAACCAGCAGCAAAGCCCGTAATCAAATAAAGAAAATATCTCATCAAAACACCGAATATTCAAATGACCGCTCAAAAAACTCGCAAATAATTTCTCGCTTTAAAATACTGTTTGATAATTCAAATAAAAAATTCTCAAAAGTAAACAGAAACTAAGGATTTTCTTTCTTATGGTCTAATCTATCAAACACGCGTTATCGTGGCCTGTCATCAGTGTCGGTTTTGTTATCCGAAATTTTCAATCATCTTGCAGCTTAGTCGGAAGAAGTTGGAAGATCTTTGTAAAATTTCCATCACCCGTTCTAGTCTTGGTGCTAACGTCCTCTCAATGTTCGCAACCACTATTCGAAGATCACTTTTTTTCTAATTATTACCGATATCAGATTGTTTACTCTTGTGCCTATGTATTTGAACGTTTAGTAAAACTCATCAATCAAGAAAACAATGCGCATGCCTAATCTGCAAGTAGAATCTTAAACGCCTGCAGATCCTCTACCACATGCGCATTTGTTTCAAATGGCACTCTGCTCATACGCAAAAAGCCACTGCCGACATTGACACATTGGAAAACAGTCACTCCCCGCAAAGCCATTTTTTTCCGACTTTAATTTTTTTGTTTTCTTAATAGGTGTAGAACTTTTGCTAAGTGCTGATTCTAGGCAAGTTTCTCAGTACCACGATTGATTTCCATGCAGACATGATTTGTTTATAGGGAGGCATTAACTATTTAACTCCCATCAGTGACCGAGACAGAATTTCTCTTTACAATATCAATACAATATCGAGCAGAAAAGTGACGAGAATAAGGAAAAATATCAATCAGGGCCGGGATTAACAGTTGATCAAATACTAAATTCTCTGACCTAACATCGCGAGAATCGCGTGGATGACAATGAGAAGAATTACTAACGATATCTAGGGAGTAAAACGGTAAACATTCATACATTCAGTACACAGTATATTTTTTTCCTCTACGACTTTGATTTTCTCCGACGAATGCACTTATCTATGTAGTTACATGCAAAGATACGTTTAATTTGAAAATAGCCAAGAGAAAGAGGCAGTCAGCCTGTCCGAATCGTTCGTTAATTTCAGGAAAACCTGGTTTTCAGAGAAGCGTAGATAATTTATCCACGAACAACATCTAGACATTTATCTAAAAACAACAACAACAACAACCCATGCATTATGGGGAAGAATTCTAAAAAAGAAAACCGATGCGACACTACGAAAAGCGTTTAACCAAATCAGAATTTCTGCCTCGTAATTTTCCCGAAGAATCGACTACTAACGCCTTGCTAATCAAACGCACGTTTAACAAGAAGAAAGAAATGAAAACTTTTTTTCCCAATCGACAGTTTTACGTACGTACAAATGTTCCTCAAGGATTTGAATTCGTTGCTGAAACCGATAGTTACTTGTCACTTAAGACATGAAGAACTTTGTTTACTGCATGATCATCTGTTTAGCATGTTTCATTTTACATTACCAAATGACCCCACCGGAGTAACTACCTTTTTAGGTAAACATCATGAATTAGCACTCCTAGCCATATAAAGTAATTGAATTTTGAAGAAAAAATATGGGCAGAATTGTGTCCCTCAATTCACCAAAAAGATTACGAAGACCATCACACGGATAAATTTGCCTTTATCGACTGAAAAAAAGTGAGTATAATGTGTATCGTTTTCACTGTCAGCGTTTCTTGATGTAAGAATATCACAGAGATGCACTTTGCTTTGAGTTTCCTGTTTTGTCCGCCATTGTATCAGCAGTTTGCTCCTGCCGGTGACTTGGTTCATCGCCGAACAGTTCAAACGTGCTGAATACCTGGATTGAAACTTAACTAGGTTTCATGTCCTCAGCCATTGAGCTAGGCTCTTCAAAGACTTACCCTCCCACGATTCAAGTGAGGCCTTCCCTTGGTCATAAGTCGGCAAGATGTTTCTTAGCGGACGGACTGTTTTGTTTTGTGCGAAGCAGGATGTAATATTGATTGGCATTACAGCTGTTTTTGTATGTTAGGAACTAAATTGCATGTCATCAGCCAGACCATACCACGCGACTTCAACGAGGGTTCTGTATCTCTGCATAATATTCATTGTAAGTACTTATCAGCAACTTCCTATTTTTTTGTGTGTCTATTCGCAGATAAAAAAAAACACGAATCTTAGTCGTTTCCCGCAGAGAAAGGAAGATGGAAAGAAATAAAACCTCCCTATTTTTCTGCGGTAAACACTACACTCCAATCGGGAATTAGTTTAGTATCTTGTAATATCCGCCAGTGTAATAAAACTGGCTGTTGAGTCAATAAATACGTGACATTGCGGTTACAAAGTCTAATTTTGTACTGTCATTATTACATTTCGTGTGTTAGTCTACATAATTACTGATGGTATTGTCCTAAATTTCAGACTTAAAGAAGGTTTTGAAAACCAGCTTTTGGAACAGCATGAAATAAATTAGCTTTTCTATGTAAAATTGGATTAGTTAACAACTGCTTTTTCTGCAAATTGGCGGAAGAAAGTCAATTCTAGATAAAAAGCATTGCACTTCAACAGCATGAAAACAGAGTAACAATGTGCACGAAATGAGTGTTGTTAACAAATAATGATGACTTATAGTTATATAATATGATATTTTGTGGAAGAATGATGACATTACGTATTCTCCTTTTCCAAGCAAGAAGAGTTAAGATTTTGATAATCGATCAGGTGTTGAAACGACAGAATCATTTAAAACCTAAATTGTCAGTAACACCGATGTAAAGAGCTGAGAAAGAAAACGTTTTCAGTTACATATAAATAAATGTGATCACCCAGCGTGTAACAAATTTTCCTTCCCACACTTGTTTGCCATAATTGAAAAGTTCACAACAATTTCATAATTATTACATATTTGATGAGGACAAAACAGATGGAAACGTACACTTCACCATAACGTCAAAATTTCGAAAATAAAGATAAAAGAGAACTGGTGAAAGAGTAATTTAAGTAAAAGTCGATTAAGGCTCCCTGCATTAAGTAAACAGATATGTTCTCTCGGTAAACAGGCGACATTTCTTGCACTGACATAAAATGGGACTATTTGTATACGTGTACTAGTATTAACATCCAAGTGTCTTCAGTATTTACCTACTGGACATGACATACTCAGTACAGAAAGAAAGCTTTATAGACAAAAGGAGCTACGGCACATTTTGTTTTGTTGCATTACCAGCGTGTCAAGCTTCTTTAAAAGAGCAAGTTTAAAGAGAAAAAAAGAGAATTTTCAACAATATTGTTTATTTTTAATCAAAATATTCTTTATACCTAGGTTTATCTCAAAATATCTGAGTTGTTTGACATATTTCATCTTGGTAGTGAAGCGTTAAGGTCGATTTGGCTTAATAACAAAAGACTGTGAACGTCCCAAAATTGGAATAACGCGAATCAGTTAAGGTGACATTACACGGCATCAGCGACTATAATTGGTGATAATAAATAATTTTTTCATCGTTAGACGATGAGATGCTCCGTAAGACACACATATTCTAAGAAAAATTATAGATTCGCTCGCATTGGCTGAAAAGAAGTGAAAGAAATCGAACGCCGGCAAGGCATATCGATCGTATTTAAACTTCAGAGCATCGCGTTTTAGCTTCATTATCGTAGCAGTCAGATTTTAAGTAACTATATCTACACGAAAGACAGCAAACTTACCGAATTGAAGACGAATTTCACTTGATTTCTTTAAATTTTTTCATCATGCAAACTCTTCCAGTTGGGTAATAATTTTAAATTTGTACCGTGGTTCCTGAAATATGAAATATAATAGTTTGTTGCATGTACCTGCTTGGTTGAGGTACGCCGTCCTCTCCATT